AATCCAACTACTTCTCACCAGCTTCACCTCTACTATCATTCTGGTCCAAGCCGTTTTGTTTCTTGGTTCAACTTTTGCACAACCTCCTATGTGGTTCCTTGGTCTCTGAACACAGACTAAATTCATCACTGAGGCCAAAGTGATACTTTTAAAACTTAGTAAGATCAGGCCACATCTCTGCAAAAGTCAATGTCCCATTTCTGTGGTCGACAGACCTAAATGATCTGCAACAACTCTTACCCCCAGTCCTTTACTCTGTGATCTATCTTCTACCACTTCCCATCTTGCCCCCTGTACCCCATTCCCACTGGCCTCCCTGGACACAGAGAGTACATTTCCTCCCAACCTTCAACACTTCAGGCACACTCTTCCCTCAAGGCTTTCCCACTTGGTTTTCTTCTTCTCTTAGTTATCCATGGGGTTCAGTTCCTCATCTCCTAGGTCTTGAATGTCCTGTCCTTTGTGAATCCTTCCCTCACCATTATCCTATTGAAAATTGCATCATACTCTCCCAATCCCCTTCTCTGCTTTATTTTTCTCTATAGTACTTATCACTGCTTAAAACCCAATTTATTTCAAACATTCACTTTCCTTCTATCATAACTCTCTGTAGGAAGGAATTCCCCCCACCCCCTGATCTTTTTTTTCTCTCTCTCTTTTTGTGGTGCTGGGAATTGAACCCAGTGCCTCATGCATACCACTTTATCCCCAGCCCCAGGAATTTTCTTCTGTTTGGTTCACTGCTGTGAATTTTGCCTGACTAAATATAGTATAATTCATATGTACTGAATGAATGAATAAATGTGCTCACATTTAAACTGACTTAAGAGATGCAAAGCCTAAATCTGAAGGAAGACTCCCCAATGCTCCAATTTCTCATCTGTGAGAGAAACTATTTGGGGTCAGCTGGATCTTTCTGCTTCTCTTCCTGCCCTTACCTGTGATGGTTACATATTTCTTTGCCTGTTCAACTCACCTGAGACAGGCTTCATAAACTTCCAAATGCCTTCTAGATATTTCCACCTCTGGGTTTCATTCAGGCATCTCCAACCTAAAAGGTCCCAAACCTTTTAGGGAAAAAATGACTATTTTTTCCTCCACATATCCCCAACCCCTTCTGTTTAGTTTCTTTTCCCTGGCTGGCCTTGTTTTGAATAATGACAAAGTCACTTACCTGGTCCTCTTTACAAGCCTGTGAAGTCATCTTTTACTTCTTCCTTCCTTCTTACTCAAGCAATTGCTCAATCTTATTAATCCAAAAAAACTAAACATCTCTCAAATACAGTGTGTGTTGTATACCCCTAAACATCTTTCAATCATCCTAAATTTGCCAGAATCAGTTCTTGTCTGCATGGTAACCATTCTTAAGCCTGCCCCAGGCAGCCTATGGAATTCTCTTGCTAAAACAAACAAACAAACAAAAGATGTGATCTGTACCCTTCCTCCTCACAAATGGCTCTGCAAATTTTTCAATTTGCTGTAGAATAAAGCAAACCCCTCTTGGCATGATGCTCCAGTCCTTTCATCATCTGGCACCATCTTTCCTTTATAGTTTTGGCGCCTGCTGCTCCTCCCAACACATTTTCTATTCTTGCCACCATTCACTGCATTCCTCTGTGCCTTTATCCTTGCTGGTCCCTCTGCCTGGAATGCTCTTTTATCCATTATTTTTTTTCAGTTTGAGACTTCTTATTACTATTTAAAAACAAAAATTGGGCTGGGGGTGTAGCTCAGTGGTAGAACATTTGCCATGAGCTCTAGCCTGATAGAAAGCCTAGCATGCATGAGGCCCTGGATTCCATCCTTAGCAACACATACACATTCACACACACACACACTGAGAGTGATGATTTATTATATATCAGGTATTACATATTACATACACATCACTTCACTTCATTCTCAGAAAAACGAAATAACCTCTTCAAGTTAAAACAGCTGGAAAATGATTGATCCAGGATTTGAATGTTAAATAAAGCTCATGATCTAACAATATTGGGGAAGTTTTCTCTGACTTCTTACCATAATTGCTTTTTCCTTTTTGTGCCAAAAGCAGGTTTTTTGTTTTTAAATTCATGACTGAGAAGCAGTTTTATTATAAAGTGAAACACATGGATTCTGAAGTCAGATCTTTTGGAGCTTGCTAGCTGTGTGAAATTGAACCTCAATCTGCYTATTTTCTAAATGGGAATGATGATATTACCTATCTGATAAGACTACTCTGAGGATTAAATGAGTCAACCAGTGTAGTTCAGCATGGTGCATATTACATATCCCTGGTCTTCAGATACATCTTACCCTCTGTTATGCTTCTGTTCTGGGTGACCTTATTAGGTTCTGACGTCTAGGAGGGAAAGGTCTCCTTCATTCATCTTCCAATCCTCCTGTACCCAGCATAGCAGACCTTTCACTAGCTTGGGAGCTCAAAAAATGCTTGGCAAGTTAAATTTGTGAATCTGTGGGTGTTTCTGCCAGACAATGAGACATTTACAATTTTATGATCTATGCTGTGACTCAATTACCTCTGAATCTTTTGAAGAAAGTGGTTATTGAATCAGGCTGGCCATCCAATAGCTTCTGTCTTGTTTTTAAAAAATCCAGGTCATTGTCACTTCACTTATGTGAACAGGAAGCTTTTTACCTTCAAGCTTTTCCCAAGTTCCCTCATGTGTGAGCCAAGACTTTCCAGGGGGCGGGGAGTAGGAAAGAGACACCTGTCACAAGATTCCAGGCTCCTGGGATACAGATGAAGGTATTCAACTGTGGGCAAATACAATGCGGGCCCTGTGCCCGCCCTGCTGTTCCCCTCTAGTGAGCAGTGACCCGATTTGGAGCTTTGGGTTTTCACTTGCAACCACAGGCTCAGCGTTACCTGCTAAGAATGCTCTCAGCCCTGGAAAAAAGCCCCAAATGCAAGTGGGAGGCCTGAGGATTCCTGGGAGGGCGCTGGCTCAAGTTACACATTATTCTCTTGCGCTTAAGCTTGTTTATTTACATTTCAGCTGGCCTTACTAGGTAAGGCTGCAGGACTGAGGGGGCACAAAGAGGATTCAAAGGAGAGTGAAAATGGTAGAAAAGGAAATGCTTGATTAGAGGTTAACATGTCCCCGGGGGCTCCTTTGATTTGGATTATTGTAAATGTGCACAGTGTAATGATTAAGCACTCCCAAGGGGGAGTGGTCTCTGCATAGAGTTGGGGCTTTGTTTCTTATGAGTTGCAGCTGCTGTGCATAATAAGGTAGACTAGACCAAATAGGGCATGGAGAAGAGTTCCCAGGACTGGAGTGACTTGCTGGCTCTTATGCAGAATATTCTCATCATCTCCACCTAAGCCTGTGCTTTCTCCTATTCTAGATCTCAAGTAGCACCTGCATGTTGCTTGAGAGCCAGAGGACCATCCTCTTTCTTCTTGGATCATATCTTTCTCACAGGTCTCTCAGCCTGTGTCTCAGGCCTCCCATTCCATTCTCTATGTTATTGTCAGAAGGGTTTTTCCAAATTAGTTTAAAATCCATCTGTGACTTTCCAAATCAAGTGTGCCCCCCACCCAGATCTCGTGTGTTGATATCTCTACAACTGTGATTCCCTTCACACAGTAATCCTGATCTGCAGTATTTGCCCTCACACCTTGCAACTTTCTGTTCTTGTTTATCATTTTGCCCAGAATCTCCTTCTTCCCTGACAGCTTCTTTCTTCCCTTCCTCCTTCTCAGGTTGAATGAGGATTCCCTCACCCTCACCTGTTCCTGTGGTACTCACCACAAACTGCATTGAGTCTCTGATTTGGCAAAAGAAAGAATTGCTTCCCAGCGTCTAGCTTTGGCATACAGTATTTGCTCAATAAATATTTGAGAAATGAATGAATGAATGAACTCTACTAGTCATATTAGGGTTCAATTACAGTTCAGGGATTAGATCTTGAAACATCTGGCTCTGAAAGAAATAAATACAACAGTTTTTGCAATTATGTTGTTAGAGGGGTAGAATTTCACACTTGATAAAACGTTTTGTGTTTCTTCAAGCTAATGTGATTAAAACCTACTTTAAAGACCAGTTTTAAAGACCCTTTCTCTAGTTTTGATGAAACACTATTTCCGAGCTTTAGCCAAACATTGAGGAGTCTAGGAATTTCACTTTTCAAGCAAGTGTTTCCAGAAATGTCAAACCTACTACTTAAAAACAAGTCATTCCAAGACCACAGTAATATACATATGATTTGCTCAGAGAAGGTGAGAGAAGTGGGCTGGTGAACTATGAAATACAATCTGCCTAAGGAGGGAGCAAGTTGCAGTGAAACAATTGGGGTAACTCCAAAGAAATAAATAACACAAATAGGGCTTACGACCTAGCAGATTTTCGCTGAACATTAAAGAAACATCTTTCTACATAGCAACTCAAAAATAGAATGGGCTATCTGGTTAAGTGGTGGGCCTTCTACTACTTCAAGTGACCCATTCGCTTTGAAAGCACGCAGGCAGCTAAGGCAGGTCGCATCCAGAGGTAAGGGTGCAAAGGAAATTGGACTAAGGCATCCTTTGATTCCTTGAACGTCGATTGTTTCTAATATATTGGTTTTTCTCAAATCTTTTGGTTCTTTGGCATCTTTTGATTCTTTGGTTCTCAGCTCTAAATGTTAAAATGTTAAAGCGCAGCTGAGGAAAAGCAGCAACAAAGATGGAAAGGGAATTAGTAAGAGTATTCAAGAGGAAAAGGGAGTGATAATTTAAGGGGAGAAGCCATAAAGAAGAAACAGAGTAGAGAAGAAGCAGAGCAAGAATGGAAAAGGAAGCAGGGAGGCTGGGAAGAGAGGGAGAAAAACCTTAGGGAAGGAAGCAAGGGACCAAACTCCTCCCGGACTGCAGGAGGAGGAAAGGCACGCCCAGAGGGAATCGGTAGCTTTAAGGATAACCCCGCCCCCTGACGTGACGTAGCAGCAGCCCCTTCGGCGATTGGCCGTGAGCTGAGGGCGGGATGGGGTTGCTAGGTGCGGAGGGGATCCGGCGGGCCCCTGCCGCCCGGAGTGCGGAGCCGCGGGAGCGGAGCCGGGGTTAGCGGCGCTGCTGGAAGATGGCGAGCGGCTGGGAAGCGCGGCCACCCTGGCGGCTGGGGCGCCTCCATCTGCCCCTGTGCCTGGTGTTGCTGCTGTTGTTGAGGAGCCCGGCCCGGGGGGCACACATCAAGAAGGCGGAGGCGACGACGACGACGAGTGCGGGCGCCGAGGCGGCCGAGGGCCAGTTCGACCGCTACTACCACGAAGAGGAGCTGGGCAAGGCGTTGAAGGAGGCGGCGGCCGCGGGTCCCCCAGGTCTGGCTCGCCTCTTCAGCATCGGTCGTTCAGTGGAGGGCCGACCGCTGTGGGTGCTGCGCCTCACCGCCGGCCTGGGGCCGCTGCTCGCGGACGACGATGCGGGGCCGGACGCTGAGGGGYCGCTCCTGCGCGGCCGGCCGCAGGTGAAGCTCGTAGGCAACATGCACGGCGACGAGACCGTGTCGCGCCAGGTGCTGGTCTACCTGGCCCGCGAGCTGGCATCTGGCTACAGCCGCGGRGACCCGCGCATCGTCAGCCTGCTCAATACCACCGACGTGTATGTGCTGCCCAGCCTCAACCCCGACGGCTTCGAGCGCGCCCGCGAGGGTGACTGTGGCCTCAGCGAGGGCGGCCCGCGGGGCGTCAGCGGCCGCGACAACAGCCGTGGCCGTGACCTCAACCGCAGCTTCCCGGACCAGTTCAGTAGCGGCGAGCCCCCAGCCCTGGACGAAGTGCCAGAGGTCCGCGCCCTCATGGACTGGATCCGCAGGAACAAGTGAGTGTTGTCCRGCCTCTCTTCCGCATCCACGTGAGCCTTCAAGGGCAAGAGGCTGGTTCTGATACCCAGTAGGCGCTCAAACAATGCTTGCCGGCCTAAGGGAATAGGGATAGTGAGGATGGAGGGTGACACCCTGTAACAGGAACAGCCCAGGCCGCGGAGCCTCCTAGTCCCGCTAATTGTCAAAGAAGCGGTGCCTAGAGGATGTCATTTGTTCAAGGCATGGCTGAAGGGGAGATTCCTTTCTGGCATGCTGCCCCTCTTCTTTCAGGACCATGGAATTATAAGCGTTGGTTAGATGAGACTTTAAGGATAACCTAGGTCAGCTCACTCATTTTATAGATGAATTATCAATATTGTTATCTTGTTTCTAGAAGCATTGTACTAACCACTTTCCGGGACTGCTTTATCCCACTTGATGTTGGCCACAACTTGATGACACARACACCATTCACATCCTGGTTTTGCATACGGGGGAAATTGAGAGTGAGAATTGGTTAAACTAATTTGCCTAGTGAGGAGTATAACTGGGACTTAGATGCAGGCAATCTGTCTCCTACTCAGTGGTCTTACGAGGGAGGGCAAGAGACTGTAGCCCAGAAATGGTAAATGACAACCATTGATTGTTTGATAGAAATTAATTCTCCTCCGGTTTTTACTTCTGACTCTAAGGAGCTTGGCTGGAGAACTTGCACTGATCTGTGATCTGCCTTATATTAGACTGCAAGGGTTTCTGATGCCATTTTTGCACCTTATTATTGGGCCTGGGCAGAATAACTAAATTGTCACACTTAATATAAACCTTGAGTGTTATTAAGTATGTGTAGGATTTAAAAAACTTAATAAGTATAAGAATGAGGGTCTCAAGAAATTAGTGTATTATAATAAGAAAATATTATAAATCTATATGAGRTGTTCACCCAGTTAAACTTGACAGAAATTGTACTCACTAGCAAAGTGTGGTTGAGCTGAAATAATATTGACCATCTCAGTGGAAGAAATAGAACTTGAACTGAGTTTGGAGATGTGGGTAGGATTTACATCTGAAAGGAAGGAGAGGCATAGAGGAGGGAACTTATTAAAAATGGAATAGTGTCTGAAGTGAGCATATACTGCTTTGTTTTTCCAAGCATCACTGAATCCCCATATTTGTGCCTTCATAAGGCTTTTTAAGTAGTAGTTAATCTTTCCATCCTGATTTGGAGATTTCTGAATGCCAGGTAAGATAAGGCAGTAATGAATGAGGAAGTTTCTGTGAGGGACTTGGAATAATTTCTTCTACAAGATTTCAGACAGATATAGCGGGCCTAGAAGATTTGTGGGCATTATGACAGCTCCAGATTCTTTTTCTTTCACCTTTCACTTTACTCTCTTTAGAAGACCCCTTGTAGATATTTCATAAACACTTTCTAGGAGGATTTTTTTTTCTTTTAAAGATGATCACGTCATGATCTCTGAACAATTGCATAAATTTGACTTTGACCTAAACTTATTGTCAAAAGCCATGATGGCCAGGCCCTTTTCGAGGTGATGTATTGACTGTACTGTTTTCATTGCTTAAGTGTTTAAATACTCTTGTCATAACCCTTGCTGGGATTTTTTTTTCTCTTCAGTATTAGTTCTGCTGTGACCACGAATGAAAATTTCCTTTTGGTCTAAGTCACCTTGGGGTTATACTGAAAGCTTTAAGTTTTTAATCTGGCCCCCAATATTTGCTCTCTTGATATTCTTTCATATCACTAGTATTTAACCATTATGAGTTTTGGTTCAGTATGGTTAGTTCGATGATAGGAGCTTGGGAGGATTTTAAAAACTTGTGTGGGTCATTTGGTATTATATAGAGAGTCATTTTATTCTGTGGCAGTGGACTACCCTAATCATACTGCACTGTTTTTTAAAGCATGTAACTCTGATCAAAAAGAAAAACAGGTGATTATATAAGGTAAAGAGTACATTCATCTGTCTGCAGTCTTCAAAAATTAACTCAAAATGTGTATTTAATGATTAGTCAATAACAAAGGAATTAAAAATGTAAGTATACACACACAATTTGAGATTGATACTTAGATGAATATTAAAAAGAAAGATACAAACAGGTTGTATGAGAAAACTGCCTTTTTCATTGTATTTTGTGAAGTAAACATTTGGGTAATTTCTTTGTTTCCTAGTCTCTGAGTTATATTAGAAATAGATTTTTTTTTGTTATTTTGAATATGTAAAAATTTAAGACTCATTTCTTCCAGTTTAGGAAAAGGAATTTATTTTTATTTTTATTTTTTTACTTTATATACTTTACCCCAAAGGTGTTTTTGTACTATTGATAATTGAGACAAGTATTTTAGAAAATATAAAAGATTTTAATGTCAGAATGGAATAAAGATTTTATAGTTTATTTGATCCCATTTTTAAAATAAGTTGTATATTTTTTTAGTTGTGGATGGACATGATACCTTTATTTTTATTTTTTATTTTTTTTTGATACCTTTATTTTATTTATTTATTTTTATGTGGTGCTGAGGATCAAACCTAGTGCCTYACACATGCTAGGCAAGTGATGTACCAGTGAGGTACAACCCCAGCCCAATTCCATATTTTTGACATACTAGATTTCTTTAAGTAAATTTACTTGTTTAGACTTTAATAGGAGATAGCATATAAATGATTTTTGATGGTGCTAGGATTGAACCTCAGGGCCTATCAAGCACTCTGCCACTGAGCTACACCCATAACCTCAATTTTTTGATGTTTTGAAAGATCATTATCATAGTGTTGGGGTGGGTACAGATTATTTTAGGAGGCTTGTGCATATTCATCTACCATTTCCCAAACGTTTGTAATTTTTYGGGCATCACATTCTCAATTTTTAAAGTTATCTATAGCATTGTCTAGTGAACATAAAAATTAATTTAGAAATTATTTTTTTCATATTTATAGACTCTTATTTATAACATATTTAGCAGCTACTTTATTTATGTTTTATTTTTTTTGAATTGCTGGGAATTGAACCTGGGGCCTCACATGGGCTAGGCAAGCTGTCTACCACTGAGCTACATTCCTATACAATATTGAAGTCAAGTATGAGAAACACTTGAGAGAATTGATTTGAATGGAAACCATAAAATACCTTTCAAATATGATAGGAATTGATCTGACAGAGACTCAAAAGAGTAATCTTTTAGCCATTGTGATCGATGTTACTTTCTGATGAAATCCTGGAATTAGTTCCTAAAAAAAAAAAAAAATAGAATATGGAAGTCTAATTGAATTTTATTGCTCAAGGAGATTGCAAATAATTTATTTCTCTGAAAGTCCTTGGTTATGCCATTTTAAATATATTTCTGAGAAGTGTTTCAAGATATTAGAACAAAATGAAAAATAACATTTAGTAGAGAACCTTGGATTTTAAAGTTTAATTAAAAATATGGAAAGTGACATGCTTCACTTAGAATGTTCAGGACTTTTTAATTGTTGTTCATAATGTATTCCTAGTGCCTAGAACAGTGTTCAACTCATAGTTAGCACTCAAAAAATATTTGTTGCTAAATGGATTGCCTGAACTGAGCCTGCCTTCTAATATAGCTTTCTCAAAATCCATTGGGGGAAAAAGTATTTAATTGTTTTAGAAATACAAAACAGAATATTTTTTAATACATTAGCTCTATGGGGTTGGTGGGGGGCAGGGGTGAGATTGTTAGTATAGAGTTAGAAAGTTAAAATATGTACTTAGTTTTTATTTCTTTAACATTTAAGAGGGACAATGGAAATGGAAAATACATTGATAATCTGTATGTTAGTGATTCCTTAAACACAATGCTAGATATCTCCAAAGAAATTAACTATTGTTGAACAGGAGCTATAAAGTACTCATTGTTGTAGATGTTCATGTGCATTATATTCCTTAGTCTTCATAACAACTTTGGGAAGCAGGTAGCACTAATTACCATTTTACAGATGAGAGGGAATCTAAGGTTTATTGAATTTGGGGGCAGAAACTTCTGATTGTGTTACTCTTGAGCCACAGATCTGTGAGACTGAACATTTTTACCATATTTGCTTGACTCCAAAGCTTGTGCTATTACCACTATACCAAATGACATTCTCTGGTGTCTGGAAGACTGCTAATTATATTATTAATATAATAATATAATTTTTTATAGTCTGTTTTTTATAGTCTGTTCTAGTGTTTAATCACAGCATTATTGGCTGTATTTTTTTCTTCTGTCATGAATAGATTCTGTCTTAAAAGTAATTTTTATTATTTGATCTCTTCTGGGATGATGCTGATCATGCTTAAAATAACCTTTGAAATTAGACAAATGATTTAATTTTTTCAAGCATATAGAGAGAAATGTTATATGTTTGTGTGTGTGTGTATATATATATATATGTATGTATATATATATATATATATAGAGAGAGAGAGAGAGAGAGAGAAAATATATATTTCAACCCTCTGTAGAATTTCTGTAGGTCAATTAATTTCAACCACAGAAAAGGCAGAATAAGAAAATCCAATTTAGAATACAGTGAGAAAAGTATTTAATATTTACTTGTAATGGTTTGAACAGTTACATAAGGAAAAGACTCATAAACAGAATGTACACATTTTTTTTTAACCTGTGGTTTTCACCAGGAAAGAAGTTTTTCAGTGTTCTTATATCTATAAATTTGATCCGATTAGCCAGGCGCAGTGGTACAMACCTGTAATCCTAGTGCTCTGGAGGCTGAAGCATGAGGATCAAATGTTGGAAGCCAACCTCAGCAACTTAGTGAGGCTGTAAACAACAGGGTCTTAAAATATAAAATAATAAGGGTGGGGATGTGGCTCAGAGGTTAAATGCCCCTGGGTTCAATCCCTGGTACCCCACCCCCCGAAATATTTTGGGGCCAGATTATAAATTGATTCACTTAAAAGCAGAAAATGCGGGGCTATAGATATAGCTCAGTAGTAGTATACTTGGCTAGCATGTATAACGTCTTGGGTTTAATCTCTAACAAAACACATATACATATGCACACAGAAACATTAAGAAAAACTTTTTGGTGGCGGTTTTGTTGTTGTTGTTTTGTTTTCTCCTGAGGATTGAACCAAGTGGTATTTAATCACTGAGCCAGATCCTCAGTCCTTTTAAAATTTATAAATTTGAGATAGGGTCTTTCTGAGGCTGACCTTGAACTTGTGATCCTCCTGCCTTATATCTTGAGTAGATAGGATTGCAGGCATGTGTCATCATGCCTGGCAAGAAAAAGGGTTTTGTTTTTTGTTTTATTTAATCAGCCTTATCTCCAGGTTAATTCTAAAAATGTCCCCATCTCTTGGTGCAATGGAGGATTAGTCTTTGAAAGGCTGTATTATTTTTCTCTGAAAACATCTCGCTATATATCTGGTTGTTTTTTGTTTTTCCTGAAACTTCTCAACTGTGACTTCTTTCTTGAAAATGTGAATTTAGTCTAGGTATTTTGTAAAACTGGAGCAAAACAAAACTCATCCTGTTTTAAACTAGACTCCCTATCCTTAAAACTCTGTGGACAGTAAATATACAAAGCATAACTTAACTCATGTATTCAACAAGTATTATTTATACAGCCACATTTTTCTATGAAATTAACACATTATGAAATGTAAATATGAGGTTGAACTATATGAAATTGTCATTTTTTATAGGTTTTAAAAAAGGTTGAATATTGGAAAAGTCACATAGTTCACCCATTACATGAATTTGGAATTCCTTAAATAAGACATTTCCTGAAACATTAGTTAATGCTGTGTTATTCAACTACTTTTTCAATGATAGAAAATTCTTTAAAGTTACTTGTGGTTAACCTGAAACTGTTTGAAATTTTAAGTTGATGATACTTTCTTTCCATTTTCCTTTTTTTTTTTTTTTTGTTGCTGTTAGTAGTGGTTCCCTTATAACAGGTGATAGAGCTGTCTTCTGGTCCCCAAGAGAGTTATTTCAATTTGTTTATGGGTCTGGGGGATATAGCTCAGTGTTAGTGTTTGCTTAGTATGCAGGAGGCCCTGGGTTTAATCCCCAGCAACTCACAAACACACACAAAGATGAGTTCATTTATGAATGATATTGTGGAACTTTTAAATGCATTGTGTTTTCTATGTCTTTTATTCATTTATTTATTTTTTTTTAGTGATACATGATTTGGTTGTGTTTTCAAAGGTTTGTGCTTTCTGGAAATCTTCATGGTGGCTCAGTGGTAGCAAGCTATCCTTTTGATGATTCTCCAGAGCATAAAGCAACTGGAATCTATAGCAAAACCTCAGATGATGAAGTCTTTAAATACCTGGCAAAAGCTTATGCTTCAAATCACCCCATAATGAAAACTGGTGAGCCTCATTGTCCAGGAGATGAAGATGAGACTTTCAAAGATGGAATCACAAATGGTGCACATTGGTATGATGTGGAAGGTATGCAAAACACAGAATTTGCTGTATTTCCCCCTGCTTATTTAGCTTTCTTTAGTGTAGTTAAGAAAGGAAACTTTGTGGAATTCTAATTTTTTAAAATTTTATTTCTTTTTATATTGATAATTTCAAACCCATAATAAAATGGAAAGACTACCTATAGAAGTCTTTAAATATGAGCACCTATATATCCTTTATTTAAATTCACCCACTGTTATCTTTTCTGCTCTATGCTTTGCCTCCTCACCTCCACACACATCCACACCCTCCCCTCTACATACACATATAATCTTTTGCCAATCCATCCAAAAATAGGTTGTAGTTTTCATGACACTTTGCCTGTAAGTTCCATTGCATGTTTCTCAAGTACAGTCCTCTATAGAATTATATACCATTACCATAACCAGTAATTCAATACTACCATCCTACATGCTTTCCATAATTCAAATTTTACTTATTATTCCCAAAATATCCTTTGTAGCTCCTTTTTCTCCAGATCTAGGTTCAGGAATTGGCATTTGTTTGTTGTGAAGAGTCCAGACCAGTTGTCCTACGGAACATTGCCGATTCTGGATTTGTCATTTTTTTCATGTTAAAATTCAGGCCCAATTTTCTAGCACAATCATTATATAGACCGTATCACATCACATCAGGAGACACATAAAAGCAGCTAAAAGTGACTATGTTGGACAGCTTAATTAGTATGATAACCATTAATGAGATCTTTCCATTTTATATAGAGACACATTTTCCTTGTCTATTTTAAGCTGTAGGGTGGTCATGGAATTATTCTATTTGTTTATTTTTTCTTTAATTATGATAAAATTTGCCATTTTATCCCTTTTTTTTTTTTTTTTTGGCTACTGGGGATTGAACCCGGGGTGTTTTACCCTTGAGCTACATTCTCAGCCTTCTTTATTTTTTATTTTGAGTCAGGGTCTTACTGAGTTGCTGAGGGACTCAGTAAATTGCTGATGCTGGTCTCAAACTTGGAATTCTCTTGCCTCAGCCTCCCAAGTGGCTGGAATTACAGTTGTGAGCCACTGTGCCTGGCTTAGCCATTTTAAAATGTAGAGTTAATGGTATTAATTGTATTCACTTCTATTTTCCATCATCACAATCTATCTCCAAGCTTTTTTATTATGTTAAACAGAAACTCTGAAATTGTTAAATAATAATTCCCATTCCCTTCAACCCTGTAGCCACTGAGAACCTCTAATTTATTGTTTATCTCTGTGAACTTGCCTATTCTAGATATTTCACATAACTGGAATCTTACACTATTTGTTTGTTTGTTTCTACCTAGTTTATTTCACTTAGCATAGTGTTCTTAGGTTTTTACAATATTTGTTTGTTTCTACCTAGTTTATTTCACTTAGCATAGTATTCTTAGGTTCATCTATTTTGTAACATGTTTCAGCACTTTATTCTTTTTTATGGTTTGTATTCCTTGAATGTATAAAACACATTTTGTTCATCTGTTGATTGGCACTGAGTTGTTTATACCTTGCTGGCGGTGAATAATGCAATAATGAACATTGTTGTACAAGTATCCAAGTCCTCAGCTTGTCTTCAATTATTTTGGGTACGTAGCTAGAAATGGAGTTGCTAGATCATATATTCTATGTTTAGCTTTAAAGAAACTGCCAAACTTTACCATACTGGCTATACTATTTATATGTATTCCTACCAGCAACATGCAAAGGTTTCAATTATCATGGAATGCTATTTTAAAAGAATTGTTAAAGTGAGCTTGAATTGTTTACCTGTTCTTTTAAATGTCATAARAATGGTTATTGTTCTTTTAAAAATTTGGCAGACTTTGAAGAATAACTTTGTTTTTGTGTACAAACTTAAATTTTTAAGAATAAGCAAGAAGGAATAAGTCAACCCATGGAAATGTCATCAGTATAAATATTTTCTCTTAGAATCTGCTCATGGTGAAATGCCTTTGGGCTTTCTTATCTTTTTATTGATGGTCACATTATAAAGTGTCTTATAATGTGTCTCTTAATTTATCTTTATTTAAGCCTTTTAAATTGCTTTCTGACTTTTTATGTCAAGCCACAGACACCCAGAATGAGTCCTAAATTTAGAGACTTAGTATCTCTGTAGAGTTTTCTGATCCCCCTATAGTTTGTATCTGTGTTTCTATAATAAGCATCTATAGATGTTTGAAATATTTAGAAGCCAAACAGTTAGAGGTGATTTTGAAAACCATCTATTAAAAAGAAAGCTCTTTTTTTAATAGATAAGGGACATATTTCAATGTGTAATCCTTACATGTCAATCTTTAGTAGGTACATTTAATAAAATCTAATTTTGTGAACTGGTGATTTTGTGAGTTAGATTAATTTGGGATGATGTTACTTAAAATAATGGATTGAAGAATAATTTACTTGCCCTTTTTGGAAAAAGTTCTAAAAGGTTAGAAAGCAATTCCTAATTGACAATTGAAGAATGTAAGTCTATGTTATACTATTTCAAAAACAAATATCCTGCCTTCACCGAACTGTGATATTAAGATCAGAGATTATTTAGTTATTTRTTTACTAGATTTTTCTAACAACTGAAGAAGTTAAGTTTTGTTGCTGCTATTGTTATTGTTTTATGCTTCAGCCTTTCTCTTTAGCTGAATGGTCAGACATGTTTTATGTTATTTCTACAACAGCTGCTCTTTCTACCTTAGCAAATTTCAAGCAGATTCTTCTTGAGGGAGGAGGCTGTGATGGTTTTAGTCATTTCAACAGGGCAAATTCATTTTGTTTATCTTATGCAGGACTGCAGTGAGTAAGATGCTGTGAAACCTTGTGACCTGGCATATATTCAAACCCTGATRTCCTGGAGTGATTTTACTGATACTCTGTGTGATGTATTTAGGAATTATAGCTCGAAGTATATGTAGACCTTTAAAGCTGAAAGGAAATATATTGATCTAGTCCAATCCTTTTGCTTTATAGAAATTCAAGACCTGAGAGAGGGAATGACTTATGCAATATAATTTTTTTTTATTTAGCAAACATTTACTGCAAACATTCCTGCCACATTACCTGCCACAATCCATATGCTGTACTAGGATGATGGGGACATAGTGGAGCAAACCAGAAATAGTTCCTGCCTGTGAGAATCAGATAGTGTATTACTTGGGTGGAACGAAGGGTGATTGGCCTCTACTACTTTACCTTCATTGCCAGGGTTGACTCAGCATATCTAGCTGCCTATGTAGGAGGTCCCTGCTTCTTTCAACATGCCTTTCAAACCTTCAAGATTCATGTAGGGAATGATTATCCTTAGAAGGCCTGTGAATAGTAATGCTTACCTGCTAAAACCTCATTACTCTGAGAGCCTAAAAAGGACTTGTTCATGGAGGAGGGCACCTTTTTTTTTTTTTTTAATTTTTTTTTCTTAAAGCACAGTATGTTAAGTTGAATGCCTTTTGCCTACCTTTTTTTTTCCCTGTGGTACTGGAAGTTGAATCCACTCTCTACTACTGAACCGTATCCCCAGTTCTTTCTTTCTTTCTTTTTTATTTTTAATTTTTAGACAAGGTCTCACTAAGTGACCAAGGCTGGCCTTGAACCTGAGATCCTTCTATACCTCAGTTTCCTGAGTTGCTAGAATTACAGAGATGTAATTGCATCACACCCAGCTCAGAGTTTTATTTTCAGTAATGATCTATAGCATGAAATAACTTTAGTTTTTTGTGTACATTTCATATATGTGTGTACATTAAACAATTCTATGAAATAATACTTTTCAAATATTTTTTTAAAGATGTTTTTGGTTTGTAGATAGACACAATACCTTTATTTATGTATTTACTTATTTTTACGTGGTGCTGAGGATCAAACCCAGAAGATCGAACCCAGTGCCTCATACATGTTAAGCAAGTGCTCTACAATTGATTCACAACCACAACATTATAAATATATTTCACTATTATTTCTTCTATCCTACCCTATTCTGTTTGTTTGTTTGTTTATTTTGGCACCAGGGATTGAATCCAAGGGCACTTATCTCTGAGCCATATCTCCAATCCTTTTTATTTTTTATTTAGACACAGGGTCTCACTAAGTTGCTTAGGGCCTTGCTAAATTGCTGAGGCTAGCCTCAAATTTGTAATCCTTCTATCTCAGCCTCCTGAGTGGCTGGGATTACAGGCATGTGCTACCATTCCTGGCCCATTTCATTTAAAAAAAATTATTTTTTAGCTGTAGTTGGACACAATATCTTTATTTTATTTATTTATTTTTATGTGGTTCTGAGGATCGAACCCAGGGCCTCACACATGCTAGGCGAGTGCTCTATCGCTGAGCCACAATCCCAGCACCCCCATTTCATTTTTTTTTAAGAGAGAGAGAGAGAATTTTTTAATATTTATTTTTTATTTTTTGTCGGACACAACATCTTTGTATGTGGTGCTGAGGATCGAACTCGGGCCGCATGCATGCCAGGCGAGCGCGCTACCACTTGAGCCACATCTCCAGCCCCACCCCCATTCCATTTTTAAAAAAATATTTTTTAGTTGTAGATGGACACAATACCTTTAATTATTTATTTTTATGTGGTGCTAAGGATCGAACCCAGTGTCTCACCCATGCTAGGTGAGTGCTCTACCACTAAGTCACAATCCTAGTCCCCCCATTTCATTTTTTAAAAAATATTTTTTAGTTGTAGATGGACACAATACCTTTAGTTATTTATCTTTATGTGTTGCTAATGTTTGAACCCGTGCTAGGTGAGTGCTCTACCAAGCCACAACCCCAGCCCCTTCATTTCATTTTTTAAAAAGTAACTTACCAGTTGTCACAAGTCAATTATATATTTCACTAATGGGTTATGACCTACAGTTTGGAAAAAAACCCTGTTTTTCATCATCATATGGTAGAATTGATTTATTTATAAATTCTAAGTAGGAACAAAACACCTTGCACATTGCATTTCATTACTTATTACTTGGGGGTTTTCTTTTGCCCTGACTTGTTTGTATGTCTCAGTCATTT